ATTTCAAAATACACTAAAATGTGAACACTTGGATTATCTTACAGTTGTTGTTCAATTTTAACAAAATTTGATATACACGTATAAAGTGATATGAACTTTCAATTTAACGGTTGGATTTTCAAAATTCACATTTAATATAAAGTTATAGAGCGACATAATACTTAGTAAAAGTTACACCGGTATAATTATAACCCCCTATATTATATATATAAAACAGATGCACGTTTGGAATAGTGGGGCAATTGCCCTCACTACTATTTGACATATACATAATTTTTTATCTAAAAAAATAATATATTTAAAAAAATAAAAATTATATTCTAATAAAATAAATATATAGATTCAGAAAAAATGTTTATTTATTTGATATCTGTCAAATTTTTGAAGAAAATTAATTCTCATGTGATAAAAAACTAATAGAAGAGAGAGAACTTCTACAAATTTAATTTATATATAAACTAATTTTAGTTTGTAAAATAACTTATTTCATTTTTCGTTATTCCTAGTATACTCGATAAATACTTTCAAAGAAGTTTACTTAGACATATTCAAACAAATTTGTAGAAATTTTTTCTCATTAATTCATCTAAAAAAATCATTTATAACTTATACATAAGACAATTCTAACTTATGAAAAAACTTATTTTAATTTTAATTTTTATTTCTCTCTTCTAGAAATACTTCTAGAGGGTTTTATCCATATATCTAAGAGAAAATTTTCTTATCTCATTATTTAAAAAAAGTAACTATATTTTAAAACTTAAAATTGTAATATATTATATTTAAGGTTTTGTTCTTAATATTAAACTAACTTTTAGGCATGTAGCAATCATTTTTTTTTACAATAGTTAATAATACTTTAATATGTAACACTGATCAAATTTAAGAGTGTATTGAATTGAGATTTTATAAGACTATTTTAGCACAAAAATATCTTGTAAATTTAAATTTTTTCTCTAAATGTAATGAATTTTAAGATTTTCTTAAAAGACTTTGTAAGAATGTAGTGACTTTTAAGTTTTTTCTTAAAAGGACTTTTTATCAAGATTTTGTAATATAAATTTTAATGGATTTATATTATAACGATATATAATATTTTTTAAAGTATTTTATGAGATTTAAAAGCACAATTTTAAAAAAAATATAACTAATAAAAAATAGCATGATAAGGTTTGAATAAAGAAGGATAAAATCAATACATTATTATTTTTTATACTTATAATAGAGAATTGAGAGACTAGACATTAAAGAATTCAGAAACATTTAGTAGGAGAAATAAGAAACATGTAATAGTAGTTTTCAATTCACATTAACTTATGTTTTAAAATCTTAATTACCATCTTTTAGTAATAAGTGTTACCAAATTAATAAATAACTTTGTCTTTTAAGTATGTGGTTTTAAATTCAATCTTTAATCGGAGTGTATATGAAATTCATTTGTTGGGAGAAGTTAACATTTTAAGTAGATCTTAGTATTTGACAAGATTAATTTTTATCTTTTGGTTATATAGATGGTATTTTAGTTTACCAAAAAAAAAAAAAAATCTTACCACATTTTTTTTAGAAAAATTCCACTCAGCTACAATAAGATTTTCTCAAAACATGATTTCCTTCAAATGATCAAACCACTTCTTACAAACTTATTTTAAAATAATATTTGTTTTAAGCTGTAAAAAAGAAATAGTAATATTCATTTTAAAAATGTCATCACTCCACATGTTTGTACATTTAATTAATGCGTCCGTAACGAATAAACAAATAACATCAAGTACGATATATTTTTTTAGCAATATTTCGCAAAAATGATACGTTTGTTCTTATGGAAGACTAATTTATCTATGTGAATTTTGTAAATTATTGTTGATTTTATTAATTTATATATTGTTGTGATTTATGATTTAATTATTGAGAAACTCTATAAATTTATAAATTCTTAAGATTTTTTTGTTGTTAAGAATTGTTACGAGTAAAAGTTAGATTGATTGATTCCAAAATGTATATAAGATTTTTTTAAAATTTGAGTTTCATAAGTTTATTTAAAAAAAAAAGTATAAAAAAAAGTAAGAGAGAGAAATTTTAAAGCTAGAATTTCCTTCTTCTTCTAAGACATCAAGAGAGTGTCCTAGAATATTTCCTAAAGTAGTTGAACTGTTGTGTGAAGATTCTTGGAGAGCTTCAAATAAAATTCTTTGGAGTGTTATTTGGAGTTTTTTTGGAGGATCTCATTTTCTTCTTCTACCGAATCTACCTGATTCTAGTTGATTTAGAGATAAGGAAAACTTATTGATTTTTGATTGTTGGATTGTTATTGTTGTTTCTCTGTCTAGAATTATAATTATAGTGTTGAATTAAGTTATGATTGAAGATTGACTTGGATGAGCTTTTAGATGCTTGTTTCACATGACAAGAAATGGTTGATTTATGAATTTGGTTGGGTGCATGCTAATTCTAATGATGAAATTGAGCTCTTCTCTTTGTAGTATATGTGTGTGTGAAAAAATTATTTGATATGATAATTAAAATTATATTAAATAAATATTTTACTAAAATAAAAATTAATGTTAAATATATTGAGTGACCAAAATTTTTCGATATATGTATAATTTTATTTATTTTTGATGTATGTATTTAAACAACGTAATATAATACTATCATATATTTTAATTGATTTTTAAATAATAATTTTTTAAAATTACAAAAATCGAGTCGAATCAAACAACACAATATTGATTTAGTTTGGTTCATATTTTATAATACATAAACCAAATTCAACTATACATAATTTATTTTTTGATTCACGTAACTTTTAAGCAAAAAATCTAACCAAACAAATCCGGAAACAGCCTTTCAAATATTATGCAGGGATATTTTGGCTGTCATTACTATATATTCTTGAAGACTATAATTGAAGTCATACAAATTTATCACTTTCATACTTTTATTTTGATTTTGATGGCATTTTGACATTTAGTCATATACATTACTGTAGGTTGGCCAAAAGGCAGGTGGATTGTTTGTCAATATTGCTAGATCTGGTACTTTCATCTTTGTTGTTTTCCGTCTTTCTAGTCATACTGAAGGATTTAATTCCTGCATTAATTATCTATCATATATAGTGGCTTCCAAACAGTGGAGGAGGGAAGATAGACCCCCTCAATTCCATCCTGTTGTAAACTCCAAATAATAATATTGGGTTGAAAGATGTAGTAGAAATTATTTTTCTTTAATGTGATGAACTAATTCATCCGTGCACCTCAGTTTAAGTGGAGGTTTGCTTTTATGGTTTTGGATAATTCTTTACATGCTTTGTTCTGTGCAGGATATTTGTGCTTGATATTAATGAAGACCTAAGCGTTACAAGATCTGATTTGTACTTCAAAGAGCTATTTTCAAAATGTGGACTGCATGTTTACAAATCAAAGTTAAATAGCACATATACTAGGATATTCTTTATGATATCTCTTATATTCTAATTTTCTTTCTTTATTGCAAGTTATAAATAAAGTAGAACACAGCTTCGTGGAGATATTATTTCCAACAACCTTTTGAAATTTGAAGTACGTCTTCCCTCCCCATATCTACATGGTGGAATTCTCACATATTCTAATTCTGACGATTGATATCGTATCTTATGTTGCCTGAAAAGTTACATTTTATTATCTGTATCAACGCTATCGTTCTACTTTAAAAAGATATTTCCATGTGCATGTAATCAGCCTAGGTGTCCATCATAGTATTGGGAGTCTCTTATATCTTGCTACACGCTTTTCACCAATCCTTTTGAGTTTTGTTGAATCAGGATAGGATTCCCTGAACTGTGAAGATGTATGCATTAACAACAGAGCCTCTAAAGAGCTTCCCGCACCAAATCTTAAATACCTACTAAAGCTATAATAAACCTAGAACCATTCATTAAGTTATTATTAGAGTAGTTTCTCGATCTTGTGCTCTTGATTCTTGAATATTTATTCATCGTAAGCCTTTTTCGGTTGTTCATTTGGGAGATCCATGTTGTATAGTAATTTGTGATCTTGATCATTAATTTGTTTGTCATAAGCCACTAATCGGCTTGTATGCGAAATGCAATTTTCCGTTATCTCAGCTACTCGAGATATATCAAAAGGTGGAATTGTGTTGTTTTTACCATATTGATGGTAGTTAGTGAAGAATCCTATTCATGCAACATTTTTTAAAGGGTTAATATATCATTTTTTTCCTTGAACTCTTTCAGAAATTTTCTATTAGATTTTTATAAATTTGTTTATAAAATGTGAAATTTCATAAAATATTTTCTATATCCTGACACCTGAACAATTACATTATACTCCCTCCAATTCAATTTTTTTTTTAAAAGAAGTTATAGTGTAAAGCACATGATCACTTATATTTTATAAAAGTTGTAGGGTAGCATTATCATTCTATGTCATTTTATTCATGTGTATCGAGTTAAATTTTCCTATTGTACCAAATATAGAAAATATTTTGTAAAACTTCACAACTGATTTCTAACTTCGAAAAATAATTACAAAATTATAAAAAATCTAAAACTATGTATCTATATTTTTTATTTATCGATCTCAAAAGTACAATCTAAAACTAAAACCAAGTGGTACATCAATCCAGCGTGATTTCCTTGGGAAGCCATCAAACTCAGTTGCTTTGCGTTGCGTCTTTTTCCGATGGGATACTGACTTTTTCTGTTGCTTAGTCAATTACGTTTTGTCTTTACGCATCACGGGATACGTCTAGAAGTTAATAAATAGCAGTTATATGAGAATGAAAGATCTGTACATACACTACATTCATTCAAAAAATATTAAAACAAGAATATAATAAAAATAAAAATAAAAATAAATCTTACTAATTAAATTATGAACAGACCAGGGATCCTCTCTAGTTAAAATTGTAACTACTTGCCATCCAGTTCAATCCTAATAAGCTATAAAAAAAAAATTATCTATGTTTAATCCGCTAAACTATAGACGCGATAAGAGCCACTGTTTGCACCACATTAGAATAGGTATTATTATTATATCATGAAAACATAGGTTAACGTTGGATTAATTACAGCATAAAACCACGTAAGTGGAACTGGAAGGAGAAACACATTATCCATGCATCCATAGCCATAATACCTATCTAGTTTGTCCAAAGTGGAGATCAAGTGCAAGCGGGAAGAGGAGAGCCACACAAGCACTTGTTATGAGCGTAGGAAGACGCGTCAAATCTCTGCAAGTTGCGACCACGTGGAATCTGACCACACAGATTATTGTAGCTAACATTAAACATCTTCAAATGCTTAAGCGCCGCGAGTCCCTTAGGCAGCGTCCCATAGATACGGTTGTTCCTCAGATCCAAGGTCTCCAACTTCCCCGGCAACACAACTTTCCCAAAATCAAAAGCAAGCATGTTCTTCGCCAGAATCATAACCTGCATGTTTTTGTTATTCGACAGCACCGACGACGCGTCTCCCTCCAGCATGTTATGAGACAAGTCCATGAACGCAATGTCCAGCTTCGGCGGAATCCTCCCAGTGAGGCGGTTGTGGGAGAGCGACAACACCGTGGATTCGCCGGAGAAGGAGGCGTAGGAGTCGGGGATGGCGCCGGAGATGCGGTTGCGGTCAAAGGCGACCACGGCGAGGTTAGGGAGAGAAGAGAGGGAAGCGGGGAGGGTGCCAGAGAGTTGAGGAGTCGGGGATGGCGCCGGAGATGCGGTTGCGGTCGAAGGAGACCGCGGCGAGGTTAGGGAGAGAAGAGAGGGAAGTGGGGAGGGTGCCAGAGAGTTGGTTGTGGGAGAATTGGATGGTGACGAGGGTTTTGATTCGGGACAAGAAATGGGGTATCTGGCCGGAGACGTTGGTGTGAGTGATGTAGAAATAATGGAGGTAGGTGAGTTTGGCGAAGGAGGGGGGGATGGGGCCAACGAGGTTGGGGATGGTGTCAAAGTTAAGGGTGTTCAAGTAGGGAAGGTTTCCGATGGAGGAGGGAATAGGGTAGGGTTTGGGGAGGTTAAGGTTGATGAGATGGAGTTCGTGGATGCGGTATGTTTTGGTGCGTGTGTCGCATGAGATACCTGACCATCTGTGGTTGCAGCAATCAGTTGTTGGGTGCCAAGAGGAGAGGGGGGTTGGGTTGCCAAGCTCTTTCTTGATTTGGAGTAGGGTTTGCTTGTCTTGTGGGTTGCATAGTTCTGAGAGTGCTCTAGTGAAGGATAGGGCTATCACCATGAGGATGCTAAAGCTTGTCATCTTTGCACGAACTTTGCTTCGGTGTTATTTGTGAGTGAAAAAACATGGACCGGGATTCTACATATATATAGGAATTGAAGTGTTTGCATTATCATCATGTCAAAATTTTGAGAGTGATTATTTCTGTTTGATACATTGGAGAGCGAGAATAGTTTCAACAAACATGCACACATCAAAACATTTTCTCTTAGATTAATTAATTTGTTAAAAACATGTCACAAATATATAATTATTTTATTTTTTAATTAAAATTAATTATGAGACTAAAAAAAATAAGGCGGAAAATTAACTTTTTGCTAATCAATTTCAAAATGTTAAAAAAAACAAAAATTTTCATATTTATTTATTATTTAATAATTATTTTCTCTCTTGTATCTGTTCCCCATCACTATACAACATAATCTTCATTATCATTATTTATATCACAAAGTCACAATTGCTAACCAATGATATTATTATATATCATTATCATTATTATTGATATTGTTATTGATACTATCATTATTAACCATTAATGCACCATCATCAACACATATAATAATTGTTGTTGTCATTATTATTATCATTATTATTATTACATTAAAATAATTTAATATAAATCGTATTAAGATATATAACTAGCTATTTTAAGGAGGGTGTTGGAATAAATTTTACATTTGTTTTGGTAAACCAAAATATTCCTTAGTCGAAAGATGCCCAATCTTTTAAAGTACTAAGATCTGTTTGAAAGGTTGACTCTCTTGACAAATGTTTTTCCATATACATTTTTATATCATAGACAAATTCTTGACCACATGCATAAGATATTTACCAATCATGAGACACCTTGGTGATAAATTTCACATCATTTTACTTTTTATGTTCATTTTCTATCATACAAAGCGCGTGATAAAATTAGCTTAAATATTTTTCATGTATTATTTTCATTGTGTTGTATCTAAATTTGTATTTGACACACCTTTACAAACATGCACATTTGTATCTCATTTGTTAAAATTTATTATAAAATATACAACTTCTTAAAAAGGAAACACCCAAATAGACATGACAATGAGGTGAGCTGAGAGCGAATTTTGATCTCTTTGTATTTATCTCGTAAAAGGTCAGATGAGTCCAAGTTTAAAAGGGATAAATCTATATTTTTAAACTCATTCTCATTCCCCTCAACTTTGATTGAGTCTTATCATGTTCAAGTAAACTCATAGGAATCCCACATTTTTTTTAAAAATAATTTATATATTAAGTTATTAATTATATTTTAATTCACAAAATATATAAAAATTAATAGGCATATGTTTTAGTTAAATATATGTTCATGTGCAATGTAATTTTTTTAAGTGGGACAAGTATATATATGTACAAGGACAGGTCAAAGAGTAACATCCTTAAATATAAACTTGAACTTGATCAAAGTGAGTTTTTCCTATCAAAATCGGGTTGAAGTCAAACAAGTATTCAAATATTTAGATTCATTTATCTTGCCTACACTTAACACTTAGATCAATTGGCATGAGTTTATTTAGTGATTATGGGTTTTTAGTTTGTATAGTGATCGTGATGGAGTCCCTCCTTCCATGGTTGATGATAGTGTGATGATCCACACATCGTCTTCTACATCTTTAGAGACTATGTTTTTCATTTTCCACCTTAAATTTGGGCCTGTGTTGAGCATAAGGCTAAGGAGGGGAACCATCCCTCAAAAGCCGGCCCAAGAGGTTGGAGAACCTCCCGCCTTATAAGGCCTCCCTGGTAAGGAGACCTCCCCGATGTGGGACTTGTTACATATATCCTCCTCCTTTCTGTCACTCTTCCCTTCAATTGATTTCCATTCGTCCTTCTTATACTTTGGAACATTAACATTCATTTTGTGTTGCCCAATTATATTTTGTCAAGATTATGTTCGAGCTGCATGCCTAACATTCTAGATGTCTATGAAATCAAAACATTGTTCCGACCCGTTCCTTTATTTTTGGCAATGAACACCTCCCACACTCTATTCCACCTTTGGAATACTTTCCACAAGTCAACCTCTTTAAACTCCCATGAAAATTTAGCAAAGAAGGTAGAGATCGTGCTTCATGGCTAAACTCCTCGCCCTCTTGTCCCCTCTCTCTCTCTCTCTCACTAACTTTCTCTCTATCATTCTGACCGTGCCCTTCCTATAGCAAGGATCATTTATGTTCTCATCACGAATAGCTTAGATGCTGATATGGCTGGGCAAGATCCCCTTTCCGTCTAATTCCCTCTTTTGATGATGCAATTTCTCTCTTCTTCTTTAGTTGGAGGGAGTACTTACCAAAATAACTCTCATACTTAAGTCAGTTTATCATTTTCTTGATATTTCTTAATATTTATATTATATATACTTTTCTTGAGATTAAACTATTTTTTTTTGTGGATAAGATATTTGTTCCGATTTATGTGCACTGTGAATATTGTAATTAAATTTATCTTTTTGATTAAACCTTTTAGCTGATATGATATGTTAATGTAATTTAACGAATTGTATGATCGAGTTTTGTCCATTTTAACCAAGCCGGTAAATTTCTATGAGAACAAAATATAGTAATGTTGCATGTTTATTTAATGATTGAAAATCAACAAAATCACGTTGAACAGAGAAAAATAAAAAAGAATTCTTTCTTTTTAATTTAATGCATTAGAATGTATGAATTTTTGTTTGTATTGATGCAAATAGATTTCAAACGCACTTCTACTATTTATAAAAAAGTTCAATTAATTGGCATACTAAACTAACCGGTAAAAATTAAGCTCAATATATCACATTGTTGTTATTTTTTTATTTTCTAAAATTATATATATAATTATTAAAATAAATAAAGTGATTCAATCTAACCCGAACCTCAAAAGCCGGCCCAAGAGGTTGGAGAACCTCCCGCCTTATAAGGCCTCCCTGGTAAGGAGACCTCCCCGATGTGGGACTTGTTACATATATCCTCCTCCTTTCTGTCACTCTTCCCTTCAATTGATTTCCATTCGTCCTTCTTATACTGCTTCTTTAGAGGGGTCACTTGCCTCTAAACTTGGCACCTCCTCTTCCCCTTCTTTATTCTTAAGGGAAAGGTCTTTTTTTTCTTTCTTTGGCTTTCAACTTTTTTTTTTCTTCCTCTCTTTTGATTTTCATCTTGAGTTGGTCCTCACCTTCCGATCTTGTGGGACTTGTTACATATATCCTCCTCCTTTCTGTCACTCTTCCCTTCAATTGATTTCCATTCGTCCTTCTTATACTTTGGAACATTAACATTCATTTTGTGTTGCCCAATTATATTTTGTCAAGATTATGTTCGAGCTGCATGCCTAACATTCTAGATGTCTATGAAATCAAAACATTGTTCCGACCCGTTCCTTTATTTTTGGCAATGAACACCTCCCACACTCTATTCCACCTTTGGAATACTTTCCACAAGTCAACCTCTTTAAACTCCCATGAAAATTTAGCAAAGAAGGTAGAGATCGTGCTTCATGGCTAAACTCCTCGCCCTCTTGTCCCCTCTCTCTCTCTCTCTCACTAACTTTCTCTCTATCATTCTGACCGTGCCCTTCCTATAGCAAGGATCATTTATGTTCTCATCACGAATAGCTTAGATGCTGATATGGCTGGGCAAGATCCCCTTTCCGTCTAATTCCCTCTTTTGATGATGCAATTTCTCTCTTCTTCTTTAGTTGGAGGGAGTACTTACCAAAATAACTCTCATACTTAAGTCAGTTTATCATTTTCTTGATATTTCTTAATATTTATATTATATATACTTTTCTTGAGATTAAACTATTTTTTTTTGTGGATAAGATATTTGTTCCGATTTATGTGCACTGTGAATATTGTAATTAAATTTATCTTTTTGATTAAACCTTTTAGCTGATATGATATGTTAATGTAATTTAACGAATTGTATGATCGAGTTTTGTCCATTTTAACCAAGCCGGTAAATTTCTATGAGAACAAAATATAGTAATGTTGCATGTTTATTTAATGATTGAAAATCAACAAAATCACGTTGAACAGAGAAAAATAAAAAAGAATTCTTTCTTTTTAATTTAATGCATTAGAATGTATGAATTTTTGTTTGTATTGATGCAAATAGATTTCAAACGCACTTCTACTATTTATAAAAAAGTTCAATTAATTGGCATACTAAACTAACCGGTAAAAATTAAGCTCAATATATCACATTGTTGTTATTTTTTTATTTTCTAAAATTATATATATAATTATTAAAATAAATAAAGTGATTCAATCTAACCCGAACCAACATATTAGGCTCAATCAATGTCAAACTCATTTTCAATGCTTGACTCAGTGGAACAACTCAGTTAATAAGTTTAGATTTAAGGTCCAACTTACATAGCAGGTCATATGGCCTAAAAGTTGGATTAACCCAAATTGTAAATGTTGATGAAAGTTAATATCCAAATATATAATCGGAGAAATTTTGTCACCTCTAATATTAAAAACCAATTAGACATAGACCCACACGATTAAAAAATATTATTTTGTTAGTTAATATATAAGTTATATATATAATTTTTTTAATTATGTAATATGAATTTGTTATTGATTTTTTACAAAAAAATAAATTTATTCTTGTTTGTAAAGAAAAAAAATTTATTAAATATTTTTTATATTTATATTTATATAATATTTCATTTTTTATTTTTTATTTTAGATTCAAATTCAAAAATATAAGATTCAAGTAAATAATCTTTTAAAAAGTTCATAATTAAAGGTAATGTATCCAAGTAAATAGTTTTTATAACTAAATTATAAAACAATCTATTTTAATACTTTATCAAATTAATAAATTAATAATAAAGAATATACATATATTTAATATTTTTAAATATGTAACTTTTCATATACAAATCTAATTGTCGAGAGGTCTGCCAAAAAAACATTTAACTGTTGTTTAAAATTAATATTAATAAAAAAAATTATTATTTTTATTATTAATGAACATAAATGTCAATTAATAATAATTATTAGATTTTGACAAAAGAGTTTTTTTAATAATGATTTATAATTA